AATTTGTTGGTACACTTGATACTTCTTTGTTTGGACAATCTTCATGGAAAGTTCACTCATATCTTTCAATACTCAAAATCTATCATTCCTCCGCATATCAACAATATAATTATCAAGTTGATCATCAAGGGCTAGTCCATCAACACTTGTAAATTCATCGGGATATAATTCAGCAAATCTAAGTATCTTTTGTTTATCGAAAGAAGAAAATTTATCAAGTGGACTCAAAGAAGCCATACAAGTCAATAACTCTATACTAACCTCATCAAATCAGTTGTTTAACTCTTGAAGCTGAAGATCAACAACTCTCAAGAACACTTGAATTCGAAAATGATGAATATTAGTAGTATCAAAACGACAACGTTTCTTTCTTCCTGGAGGAGTATACACAACATCCATATTAAGAATATCAATGTCATTCTTGTTACAAAATTAAGTGATTGTAGCAACAAAAAAAACTACCACTCGTTTTCTCTCATATTTTGCATTCTTTCTTTAGTTAAAGTAACAAGTGACATAACATTGACAATATCTTGATCTTTTCTCTGTAAAGCTTTGTTTAATTCATTCATAATCCCAAATATTCTCTTCATCAAGTGAATCATGAAAATAAAATCAAATGACTCTATTGCAAAACTCACATTATCGGCTTTTCGAGCATCATCACCATTTTGAGCATCGTTACCAATCAAATCAAGCACCTCACGTATTGTAGAATACAAATTAATCACATTAAAAATCAACTTATAATGAGACCCCCAACGTGTATTACCCAGCCTACTTAAACCAATTAGCTCTTGGTTTAAACCTTTTCCAGTCACAATTTCACCATTTTCAAAGGCTTTTTCAATTTTTTTTGGCTTGTTTTCCTTTAAGCAAATCTTTTTGCCTACATGATGATCCAACAACATTCAACGAATTTCCAAATGTATCAAAAAGCCAACCACAATCTTAATTTTTCTTAGAAACGACAACAAGAGTTAATTGAAGTTGGTGAGCAAAACAATGTATTTAGTATGCAGATTTTCTCTCATGATTAGAGTTTTGAGACCATTAAGTTCACCCTTCATATTACTAGCTCCATCTTACTCTTGCCCACGAATTCTTGAAAAACTCAAAGAATACACATCAAGCAAAGAAAAGATAACTTCTTTAAGAGACCAAGATTTAGTATCTCCAACATGAATAATTCTAAGAAACCGTTCCTTTATCATTCCCTTTTTATCAACATAACAGACACACAAAGCCATTTGTTCTTTTTGAGACACATCACTTGACTCGTCTACTAGTATTCTAAAATAATCCTTACCAAGATCTTCCACAATTGTCTTGGTAGTTTCTTTTGCACAACAATTGATAAGCTCTTTTTGAATCGAAGGTGCAATCATTTGATTATTTTTAGGTGCATTTTTCAAAACAACATTTCTCACATCATCATTCTTTTCCGCAATCCAATTCAAAAGTTCAAGAAAATATCCCTTGTTACTTGATTCATCACATTAATCATGACCACGAAATGCCAATTCTTGATGTAAAAGAAATCTCAAACAATGAAGAGAAGTAGTCAAGCGGATTCGGTAGTCACTTTTAGCTTGCTCGATTTGTTGGTCTTTAGAAACTTTCAAGGATGACTTAAAGTTCTTTAAATTCTCGAACTTTTGAAAAGCTTGATTATGAGCACTATTAATTCCACCAACATGTTTTCTAAACCGAATTGGTCTATTCCAACCTCTAAACCCATTAACAAAAAATGCATCTCCTCCTACAGTTTTGGTAGTTTCATTCTTAAACAAGTAATAAACAAAGCAAAATGCAGAATCTTTTGAAACACTATACTCAAGCCAAGAATACTTATTAAACCAAGATTTATTAAATCGATGTAATGTACCTCCTCCGAAGTCCGTTTGAGGAAATTTGTGCTTCTTTGGTTGATAAGAACCTCTTTGTATGTATTCTTTCTTCGCTGCTTCTCGATCCATTGGATGATAATCAATATTTTTTCCCTTTTAGCCGAATCCTGTGGAATGGAGATGTCATTAACTTGGCTTTCCATCTCTCTTGATGCAAATGTTGTACTATCATCTTGTGTAATACATGTAGATCTCATTCTGGTTTCTTGAGTTTGGGGCATATTATTTGAAGGGAAAGAAAATTCTTGTTCGACTTGAGTTGTTGAAGGTTGAGTCGGTGATGAGACACAAATTGGCACTTGGGAAGAACTTGCATAATTCTTTTTGGACTGTCGAACAAACCAATCCAACGTTTCATTATTATTCTTTCATTGAGAGTTCATCTTTTCATCATTCATCTTCTTACTACTACAATTACAAAATTTACAAATCACCTTAATTATTGATTATAATTCACTATTAGTAATTATATTTATTATCAAAGAAGTAAGATCTTAATTACTAATTAAATAATTTTAATGGATTCAACTTAAAAATTAAAATATCTAAATTGCTTCTACTTAAATTACACAAATTTAGTATACCATTTTTTTCTCCTTCTCAAAAATACATATAATTAATTTTACATATCACAATTTAACATTAAAATATTCTTCATAAAATCACTAAAATCTATTAAATTGATTCAAAATTTAATTTTATCTCTTAATTTCAACTCACTAAAATTAAAAAATAAATTTCAAAACCTAAAAACTCAAATATAAATTTAACTATATTTAAGAGGGTAAAAGAATGAGTGAAGAACCTAACTATCTAAGGAAAAGAAATGTACAACAACTTACAGGCAACTTGATTGAGGAAGTTCACCGAAAAATTGTCGGTAAACGACGTCGTGACAATTGGTTTAGGCTCAAACAAGAGACCGACAGTTGAGTAGCAGTGGGGTTGAGGCCTGTGTGGGTTTGAATTAAAACACAAAACAGAAGCTTTAGTGAAATGAATGATTAAAAATGATATATATTATTTTAATCAATAATTTTTTAAGGGCACTACTAAATCTACCAACTTTTACTAAATATACCAAGTCAAACAATAAAAAAAATGGGCACTATACCAAGTTAACCCAAAAATATTTATAATGGAATCTTTTATTGGAGTTGCTAGGGCACTACTAAATTTTTTAAAGTTAAGTAGGTCAGATATGGTGGCGCACATTGGTCTGAGCTTGGCGTGCGCAATTCCATCTCATCCATTGATTTTTGGCCATCGTGTTATTAACCGTTAGATGATCTGACTAATGTTTCAGTGTCAGTTTAAGTACTCCTAAAAACACAGTTATAGGGTGGACATTTCATCGTGTCATTTCTATGTATTAAAAATTGGTTAAACAAAATAAATTAATTTAATTTTTTAAGATTCATTTATAAAAAAATATTATTATTTAAAATAAATTAATTTAACATGTAAATATAGTTTATCAAATGAAGATTGACTTCCAAATCAAGTCATCCAAAACATCAAAAGTAGAAAATAAAACAATTCCAAGAACAGAAAGCTTGACTTCCAAATCAAAACCCAAAAACCCCCAATCTTTCAAGCCCTAGAACATGAGAATTTGAAGTTAAAAGGCAAAAATTAACCTTTATGCTGCTAAGAACAGAAATTGAGGATTTCGATCAGTCGTTGCCGCTCTTGGTCTATCTGAGGATCAATGGCTTCGAATTCGGTTAGACTTGGTGCGGGAGTTAGATGTTTACCATCAAAAGTATAAGTATATATTTGGAACGACAGGTTATAAAAAAACTATAAAACTGTACAATTAGCCAGAAAATGGATGGAAATGCCAAACATGGGATTGATTATTGCTTTTGCATACAATAGAGTTGTTATAAGTCTAGCTAATGGAGGAAACGTCGGAGGTTGTATTACGATTTTCCCGCTTTGGTCCAGTCCACCACAATCAGAGCCACTTTGGATCACATATAAAAGTGACATTGCATCTACATGGGAAGACCCATATGTTAGTCGTCAGAAAGAGTTTCGTGAATATTATTTTCGTATTCCTTAAACTTTTGACCTATCGAAGTAATTTGAGCACAAATTTCAAAACAAAGTGTGTAGAAAAGTCAAAATAAATAATGTGCAGAATTTTTAAGTCTTGATATAATATATTTAGTGTAAGTATTTTTTAAGGAAAATAAGTATGTAACTACCTCCTAGGCCACATAGGTCTGCCACTATATGCTAGACTTGTTCAAACAGAATCACAAACATTGTTTAGGGCAATTTGTAATGTTAGATTAACATTAATTCTCAATCCATTTGTTTGGTTTCTATTTCAATTATTTAGAGCCTAACGTTGGATTAACATATCATATGTGCTAGAAAAAAAATAAAATGCACGAAGTTGCCTCACCCATTAGGTTAATCATTGGAAGTTGCTTTTGCTTGGGGCATTATTTGGGTCCAGAATACATTTTAGGGTAAATTATGTAGTTAGCCACCCACCTATTCTAATAACTGTTTTTTTTATCATTTGATTATTTATGATAAGAGTCAATTATATGATACTATAAAATTCAAAAAATAAAAATCAATCAAAAATATTTTATTGGTGCTTGAATCCGTTTGCAAAAAAGAAAAATAATACTTAAAGAATGAGAAAATATAGATGTTTAATCCCCTTTAAATTCATTCTTGTTTTCTTGAATTTTTTTTTCTTCTAATAGAATGACGACATGTGTTATTGTCTTATTTGAATATTAGAGTTGTTAAAATCAAAAAAAAAATTAAATTATTTATAAATATGAAAATTTAATTTAATAAATTAATTTTGAACTAGAACTCATTTAATATAATATATAAATTTTAATGATTAAAACTATCATTATATTATTCCATATATTCATTTTTATTAATTTTCTAAAAGAAATTTAACTATAAATAAAAGAATTCAACTTCAATGATAAAATTTATAGGCAAAATAATTTGATGAATAAGTTAGAAAATTATAATAATTGACTCCATTTATTAACTAATGAAGAACAATAAAGGAACGGCCAAAATTAACTGAGCGCAACTTTCTCGTATATTCCGGACCTTCAAACCAAATCCATACAAATTCATATAATCTCTAATCGAAAATCGTTGCGAAAAAAAAATCCCAGCTTTAAAGATGCAAATCTTCGTGAAAACCCTCAACGGCAAGACCATAACTCTCGAGGTCGAGAGATCCGACACCATCGACAACGTCAAGGCGAAGATCCAAGACAAGGAAGGCATCCCACCCGACCAACAGCGTCTCATCTTCGCCGGAAAACAGCTGGAAGACGGAAGGACGTTGGCCGATTATAACATCCAAAAGGAATCGACCCTTCACCTTGTGTTGAGGCTGCGTGGTGGGATGCAGATTTTTGTCAAGACCTTGACCGGGAAAACGATTACCTTGGAAGTTGAAAGCTCGGATACGATTGATAATGTTAAGGCTAAGATTCAGGGCAAGGAAGGGATCCGACCTGATCAGAAAAGGCTTATCTTTGCTGGTAAACAATTGGAAGATGGCCGGACTTTGGCTGATTATAATTTCAGAAAGAGTCCACCCTTCACCTCGTTCTTCGTCTCCGTGGTGGGCAGTAAATTTTCTTTTCTCTTGTGTTGTTTCATTGCCCACTGTTATAATCTGGTTCAAAATATATGAACCCCTCCTCCTTGCATCGCGTATATTAACTTGAAATCATGCTGCTGATATAATCTGGTTTTCCTTTTTCCGTAAAGTTGATCATATTCATGGCATCCATCACATTTCTATTTGCAGGCAGTCAATCTCCGCTTTATGATCTATGCCCGTAACAAGTGTTTTACCATCTAATATGCAAACACCATTGCTTGCGTGGAGGAAAGAAACCGCTATCCAATATCACCAATGTCCAACATAGGCATCATTGCAGTTTTGAAGTATACATGCGTAATATCCGTAGAAATGATCATTTTTATTTTTTACTTTTTTTTAATATTTTAATCTTCAACATTTTAATTTTTTATTAAAATAATCCTTGTTAGATGAAAATTGTCAGTTGATTAACGGTTAACATATATTGCTAACGTAATATTTTCACTTGTGTTTAATTGATGATGTAACTCATAACATATCATCACTTTAGGTTACATGATACATACTATGTCATCATTTTAGGTAATTTGATACATAATATGTTATCGCTTTAGGTGAAGCAACATATATCGTATTGTCACTTTGGGTGACGTAACACATACACATCATTATATTAGGTGATATAACATATTATGTCATCACTTTGTGTAACGTGACATACGTTGCATCATTACTTTAGTGATGTGATATGTTACATCAATAATTAAAAATGTTAAAAATGACACATCAACGACATTCATTAATTATACTCATTTAATAGTTTTCATCAAACTGAGATTATTTAAACAAAAAATAACATTGGAGTTAAATACTCTAAAAATAAGAATATGGTCAAAGTAATCATTTGTGCTAGCATTGGGAGACTAATTCGTCATTATATCAAATTTAATATGGGTAAGGTCCAACCATGTGTTTAGCTCACTTGAATTTGATTCGAGTATAACATCTCTTCACTTATTACCCGACTTGATCCGAGTTTAGGGCGATTTGATCCAAGTTTAGGGAAGCTTCACTTGAACCAATACTCAATATGACTTATAAGATAAAATTCTACCCTTAACCCGATCCGAAATAAATATATATAATTCTCATTTTTATTAAGTAAAAATATTCACTTAATTAAAAAATAAAATACTTAAATCTAGAATTTCACGTACACGAAATATATCGAAAAAAATTAAAAATAAAAGGGTTGGTAACGAACGTGGGTTGTAGAAACCTTTATCCCTCAAAATTGACTTTACAACATGACCTTGGGGGACATGCCATCAGATACTGCCGAAGTGTGAAACAAAGCTTGCAATACCAAATATTTTTTTTCTTTCCTTCTCAGACCATTTCACATGTTCTAAGAGTCTCGTACCAACAACTCGGTCTTGTATCATTCTATTCCCTTACTTCCATAATCAACTGAATAATTATAAAATATATGTTTCTGGTCCAAAAACACATATCATATGTTATATCTGTCATGACTATCATGTGTCACTATAAACACATCTTGAAAGGTTCGGATTATCAAGACTAACAACGTTTGCAAGCTACTTAAATGTCACCTTAGCTTGCACTGCAACTTTCCATTACAAAACAGCAATCCAATGGCTGTGGATTTGGAGCAGAAATGTTTCTTCAGACACTTGTTTAAATCCCGTTCCGAAACTTGATCATCTCACCTTAAGAGATGACATTTTCTCCATTAAAAGTGTTCATGACAATAAATTTATTTCATCAGTCATTAACAATAAATTTATTTCATCGGTCATTAACGATTCATCCTTTTTTATTTGAGTGGAGAGCCATAATCAATAAGAAAACGACCGTTGATCGATGTTTGGATGAAAAAGAGAATACCATGAGAATTAAGGAGATGATATAGAGATTTTAAAGGTTTCGGCCTCTTTTCCAATCTTGGTTGGAGTTATTGATGCTTAGTGCGTAAGTTGTTAGCCTTAGCAAGGGTCATCATTACTATTTGTAGATTAACAAGACAAATCTAATTTTTAGACTTTAAATTTTTTTTTAACATATCATACAGACATGTCAGAAGTTTTGTCTTTATAATGTAGTTGACTAGAAGTATGTATTCTAAGAATGTAAATTAGTCGAAAGCTTTGGAGGATAAAGAAATTTATATGAAGACTTTAGTTAGTGAAAACACGTAATTTTAATGAATTTAATCTAAAGGAGATTTGAAATTTTTCAAAATTTATCTCCGAAGATATAATAAAAAGAAAAAAAACACACACACGTATATGACACATATGTCGATTTGACCATTTGATCTCCTCAGAAGGATTAAGAGAGTTCATGTTACACCAACAATCAGTTAGTCTAGTGGGATAAGACACTAGATCTCTTAAGTAATATTAGGGGGTTTGAATCCTGGCGATTGCAAATAGAGCAAACTGGGTTGGGAGGGTCGTCCTTGCCTACAGTACCCGATCTGGATAAATTGATTTATAGATTTGGAGAGAGAGATATCATGTTACAACACCTGGTTGTTCTTAATTTGATTTTGTCTGCTTTGGTTTAGGGTCCACTATTATTGACACTACCCTATGGTTGAGTATGACCTTGGAATTGAGTTATACGAATATAACCAATAGTATCCACATCAAAACATGGGACCGATGCTCCCTCTAATTTAGCTTGTGGAAGATGTGGAGTTGGGGGAATCCATATCCTCCTTCTCCATCACTTCTACTTTTTATGCTATATTCCTTTGCATCTTCTTTTATCTTGTTCTTTTTCCACCTCCTACAATTATGTTGATAACTTATAAGTTTAACCCAAATTTAAAATTTGCATTTACTAATTTAATTTTAAATTTAATTTAGTTTTAGATGATTATAAAAATTATAATTCAAACCATTCAATGATCTTAGTGAAAAATAGGGTAAATTACATAAATGGTCACTTTCGTTTGAGTTTTATAAATTTTCTTCACTAAATTCAAAAAACAAACGATTTGGCCACTTTCATTTAGTTTTAATTAAGATTTGGTCACTTACGTTTCGTTTTAATTAAGATTTGATCACTAAAGGTTAATGGTCGTTAAACATTTAACGGTTCGATAACGTGGCATGGTAAATATATAAAATTAAAATTATATCATTTTCACGTCGATAGTATGCGGGATAAGTTTTGGCCACTTTCCTTTCATATTTGTGCACTTTTGGCCACTTACGTTATCGTTTTATTAAGTTTTGACCACTTGGACATTGAACGACATTAGTTTGATTACGTGATATGTTAGTAAAATGATTTAATTTTTGTTTTAACCCCTACACTTTAGACAAAATTGATTATGAGTCTTTTTGTAAATTTAAATTAGCTTAGGGACAATATTTCAATTTATCCATTTTTAATAGGTTTTCTTCCCAATCCCATTTTTGTTCATCTTCTCCATGCTTCTTCTTATAACATCTCTGCTCTATTGCTCAATTGCTTCGTTTACATTCTTTCAAGGACTCGTGCTACATTTCAAGAATAATGAAAAATTTCAACTTCTAATAACAAATATAACACCACAAGTTCAAAGAAAAATGAGAGGGTAGGCAGGCATCTAGAGATAAAATGAAGCTAGGTAATCTCAGTTATACAAACTAGAATGCAATTTCCAAAGATTGAGATTGTAGAATGCCAAATCCAACAACCCGATAATTGGAACCGTGAATTCATCCACTAAACTCAACACAAAATCCATGATCTTCAACATCGAATCTTTATTTTTGCTTATGATCAAATAATTTTTCGATTCTAGATCCTTATGAATCACCATTAACCCCTGCATTTTACATGATCTGTCTCACTACTGCCACAATGTTGGCCTCCAAGTATCTCATTTCCAAGTGACCAAAACTAAATAAAAAGATAACGTAAGTGACCGAAACTTAATAAAACGATAATTGAGCAAAAGTGTTCAAATATGAAAGGAAAATGACCAAAACTTAATCTATGTATTGTGATGTAGTTTTAATTTTATATATATATCGTATCACGTCAGTAAATCGTTAAAGGCTTAACGACCGTTAGCCTTTAGTGACCACAACTTAATTAAAACGAAACAAAATTGATCAAATCTTATATTTTTATGAATTCAACGAGAAAAAGTTTATAAAACTCAAACGAAATTAACCATTTTTCTAGTTTACTCTTTAAAAAGTGTTTTTTTAACGTCTCGACGAGCAATTGAGTGTATACATTATTTTTAAAGATTAAATATTTTTAAACAAATTCACAAAAAATTATTATAAATATTATAAATCATATAAGAAATTTATTATAATTTAAATAACCGAAATCCAAAATAATATATAAACAATTGTATCCACTCATTTTGTTCATATTAAATAACTCTGGCTCATTCACACACACTCTCTCCCTCTCCCTCTCTCCCCCCCTTCCCCATACACTCTCTAGAGTCTAGCAATGGCCGACAACTTCTCCTCGTGTATAATAGGAGCCATGGATCGTCTTTGGTTTCACCAAACTATTCTTCACTCACAACCCTTTTCACTATTTCCCAATAAAACCCTTAAGCCACAGCAGCCCTACTCGGAATCTCCATTATCAAGCCGATCGGAATCATCTCTTGCAGAAAAGAATATACCAGCCTCTTTTTGCCCCGTCCCTGACCCTGAACCATTAACTCCATCGGTAATAATAAAGATCCTCGACACTGTTTAAATATGTTTCTCAAAGTTTAGGCTTTCATGGGTTTTTTTTCATGGTGATTCATTTTAGGAAGAAGAAGAAAAGTGGAGGAAAGAGCTAGAAGAGGGAGTGTTAGCTCCAGAAGCCTTTCACATTCTTCATCCCCATCAGCTCAAAAGAATCAAAGGAATCACATTCACAGGCATTCAACTTCATGTGCACTAGGGGGTAAACTGAAGAAATCCACGAGTTGTAAGAGCTTGAAAGATTTAGAACTGGAAGAAGTAAAAGGGTTCATGGATCTGGGTTTCATATTCAAGAAAGAACATTTAGATTCAAGAATGATTAACGTCGTCCCCGGCTTGCTCAGGCTCGGATTTTTCGAAACCGAATCGAATCCCGGTGCCGATCATGAACTGCGTAACGATGATATTATGAGACCGTATTTATCAGAGGCTTGGCTGATTAAAGACCCGATTCACCATTGCTGAATCTGAAATTACCAAGGGTGACTGCAGCTGCTGATATGAAGAAACATCTCAAGTGTTGGGCTCAAACTGTTGCGTACGTAGTACAGCAAGAATGCTAAGAGTAAATTAAACCTAACTAGCTGATGAAACTGTTAAAAAAACTGTAATGAGAGAGTTTATAAATAAAGACGAGCCAAAGGCTCTTTTTGTCACCATTTTTGAACTGGGAAAAACAGGATCTTTAGAAATGCGAAGAGATAAGGCATTTTGAGGACGGTCCTACCAAGTTGTGGGTAAAAGACAGAATGACAAAAAAGATGGGTTGTAAGTTGTAACAGCACACAAATGACCTGAGTCCACTCGGTTTCTGTGTTCCCATCTTCAGTTTTGTTCATGTTTTTTGACAAATCAAATCAGTCGGAATCACATGTTTTAACATATCAAATCGGGCAGGAAAACGGGGTTTGTTTGGTACATGATCTGTTTCATTACTATTTTTAATAAAGTTGTTGTTTTCTTTTGTCACGTTTAATCATGGCGTCCCATGCTAGCTATGAAAAACAGTCGCATGTTTTGGCATGGGAATGGGCATGATTTTTTGTTTAGTTTGGTCTACCGACCAATGCTTGTACGGGACAACTTGCATTTGTGGACTTACTAGTGTTATGCACCACTATGGTTGGCATCAATTAAAAAAAATTGATAGAAAATCTTTAGTTTTATTAAAAATATAAGATATCTAAAATTATAATGAATATTTACAAGTATAATTGTAAACCTAAAATATAATTATGACATTTTTCATTTACCATTGAGATAAAAATTAGTCACTTAGATCACATAAGGACCAAAGAATGAAAAAGTTAAAAAATATAACAAAAAAACTCTAATAAAATAAAGATATGAACAAATCTGACTTCATCGGTAAGCAAACCATAAAAGGGGATAAAGTTACTGAAAGATCACCGATAAATCGCAAATCAGAGTCAAGCGACGTGAGTAAACTATCCACAAACACAAAACACATATTCAAATCAATCCGATGATTCAAAGCAGAGAAGATCATCATGATAACAAATAAGCGTCATCTTGATCAATCGTGGTGATATCAAATCCAACCCTAGAAAAAAAGAAAAACAAAAATAACGGTAAAAAATCGTAAACAACAGCAAAAAATCATAAGCTACTAAAAAGACAAAGAAAAACATGTCACAAAGACATAATTATTCTTATTAAAAAATTAAGAAAAAAAAAAGATAACTGGTGGCGACAACCAGCATTCAAACTGACACCGCCGTCGGTTAAACAAAATTAAATAAGTAAAAAGAGGGGAGGAAAAAGAAAGCAGTTGGAGTTTTTTTTTTAAATAAGGAGGAATTATGTGTCTTCCAAATTTTAGATTAGCATCCATTAAAATTTATTTAATTACTACTCTCACTTTTTAAATTATTTTTTAATATTGTCGATAATTTTTTGATAATTTTTATTTTTTATAGAATCCATTAATTTTATTCAAAACATGAAATATCACGAATTAAAATGAAGATTTATAATCATAATCGTAAATTAAACATATAATTAGGACAATTTCCTATAATTAGGGGTGTTCAAATTTTCGAACTAATTCGGTTAATCGACCGAACCGAATTAGTTAGGTAGGTTAACGATTAAGAAAATTTTTAGAATTCGGTTAACGGTTAATTCGGTTCGAAAACGGTTAATTAACCGAATTAACCAAAATTAAATTTTAAATTTTAAATATATTATATATAACATATGGGCTCAGCCCAAACCATTTAAAACTCAATTAATAATTTAAGATCCAATAACTTTTAAACCTAAATCAATATGAATTAATTAAATTTTTGTATAAAATTTTTATTTTATAATTATATATTTAAATTAATTATAAACTTTTTTAAATTAAAAAATATTAAATATATTATATAACATATGGGCTCAGCCTAAATCATTTAAAACTCAATTAATAATTTAAGATCTAATAACTTTTAAACCTAAATCAATATTAATTAATTAAAAATTTTATATAAAATTTTTATTTTATAATTATATATATTTAAATTAATTAGAAACTGTTTTTTAAATTAAAAAATATTTAATTTTTATATAAATTAGAAAATTTTAAAAAATTTCAGTTAATTCGAAAATTAACCTAATTAACCGAAATTTATTCGGTTCGGTTAATATTTTTGAAAAAAAAGTTCGGTTAGGTTAATTGTTAAAGAAAATAAAAGTTCGGTTAATTCAGTTAATAGTAATTCGATTCGGTCGGCCACCGAATTAACCGAATGAACTTACCCTACCTATAATAATTGAAATAAAAACTAGTAACTTAAGATCACATGACCATACAAGGAAGATAAAAAAATCTAATTAAGACTCTCGATCAAACATAGACACAAACAAATCTGATCACATCGGCAAACGAACTACAAAATGAGATCAAGTTACTGAAAGATCACTGACAAACCACAAATCAGACTCGAGTAACGTGAAAAGTTATTCAGAAATCAGGTATCCATATCCACGTGGGCCTAAAAGAAACCCAAAGAAAGAAGTATTAGTAAAACGAGCCTAGGTCAACTGATACCATGTTGAAAATAATACTTTGAAAATAATACTTCATTGAATTAAACAGTTCACAATTACAAGTATTTATAATACAAGAGTAAAGAATAAACTGCTTCCCCTACTAGTATTTATATATGCCATTTTTATATATATTTGTTCTCGTGGACTTATTAATTTCTATTCAATACAAGACGACCATTCCACTAATTAACTTCAGTGATGAGGATGACATTGGACTCCATATTCAGAGGCTAATATTTATATAATTATATTAGGAAATTTACATGGGCTAAGCTATTTATTTAACCCGTACTATTAATCAGGGATAGAACGAAATTTAACTCGACACAATTAATTCCACTCGATGTTGAAATATTTGACTTATAATTTCATAAACTTAATGCGACTCAAAAATCTTTAAATAAAATTTAAGTTATAAAATAAAACTTGAATGATTCAAATAATTTAAATTTTTTAGAAAATATTAGATTAATTTTAAATTTTGAGTCGGCTTCGTCAACTATATATATTAGAGGTGAACGTTCGATCGAATCAAGTCAAAAAAGTTAAAGTTATTTCGAGTTGACGAGTCTTATCTTATAACTCAAACTTGATTTGAAATTTTTTAGATTCAAGTCGAGCTTAGTCGTTTTTAGAGTTTCTATGTGAATTTAATTGTAAATACTTATAATATTATGATACTATTTAATTTCAATTCAAATGATATATATATACATATATATATATATATAAGTCGTACAAAGACGTGAGACTGGATTAAAACTTGAAAATTAATTCATTAATTACTAAAAAAATTCGAGTTATTCGAGTTACTATTTGAGTTGTATTTTATAACTCGACCTGAACTTTAATTTTTTTCGAGTCGAATCGAGTTTATGAAATTATAACTTGAAATCAGTTTGAATCAAGTCGATTAGATTTGAAAAAAATATAGTTTTTCAAATCAAGTCGAATTTTTCTCATTTTTACTTTGTAATTTGTATGATATGTTTATATTACATATGAAAAATATGAATATATATAATATATTGTTTTAGAAATATGTTTAAATTAAAATTAATTAGTACTATAAAATTATAAATATTTCAATTAAATTTAAACATAAATTCGAATAACTCAACTCGACTCAAATAAAAAAATTAATTATAAAATAAAATACATCTAAAAAAATTTAACTCGACTTAGTCGGATATCTATATTCCATTAAGAGATGAATGAGCAAATATGAAAATTGTACGAACCATCTATGCATGAGAATAGGAGATAGTTCACGTGCGGCAGGCTTAAAAACGACAGGTCTAAAAATGATTAAAAAAAGGCGCTATCGATTTTGTTATTAAATGACCAGAAATATTATTAGGCGCTACCGGTTTTGTTATTATTGGGTGTTTTTTACCGGAGTTTCAAAAAATGACCGAAAATATTATTATACGCTAAAAAATGACCGAAAATATTATTAGGCTTAAAAAATGACCGAATTAACATAAAATTTTAGGTAATTTTTTTACCGATTTTATTATTTAAATAATAATAAAACCGATATCGTCTTATTTTAACGTTATATTAAGGTGTCACACTATAAAACTCTCCATGAAAATCTCTTTCCCCTTCCCAGTAACATCCAATATTAGGAGAATCCAAAACAGAATGCTTCTTTATAGTGGGGGCGGCCGCTCGCGTGAAGAGAGAAGCGGCCAAAAGGTAAAGGAAAGCGGCGTAGTGGAGATTGAGGAGCTTCACTTTCTTTTCTTCATTCTTTTTACATGTTCCTGCTCTTCTAAAATGCTGCTGTATAGAGAGGGACATAGGATTTTATTAGAGATGAATAAACTTAAAATTTTAAGAGAACGAATTTAAATTTATAAAATTCTAAATAAAATTATAAGAGAATAAAAATATATTTTCAACAGAATACATAAAAAAAATTAAAAATATAGTAATTTTAAATTTTTAGGGGATCGCCCACGCCTCGGTCAGTCCAGCCCTGCTACTATATAAGGCTTGGGACAGTCCTTGAGTTGTATCACCTCAAAGGTCATCGATGGCTATGAAGAACCACCCTTGCTGCACCAGCTTTATCTTTCTGTTATTTCCAATGCTCCTCCAGTTTCATTTTGGTACTTACTCTTTCATTTCATTTATATGTTTTTTTTTATTTCGTTTTCATTAATCTCTTCGAATCGAAAGTAGAGCTATAGTTGCAATGCCCCCAACTATAAACTTAATTTAGACATGTTTACATCTCAAGCTCCAGTTGAACAATTAATCTTATCCTTATTTGCAGCCAAAAGTGAGCTCCAGTTGAACTACCAAGCTCAAAGTTGCCCAAATGCAGAAGAAATC